TAATGCTATTATGTGGTATGTAAACGTTTATCGAGGATTTATACGGCACTGAGATAGCTAATAAACAGTTGTCACACTAATGCTATTATGTGGTATGTAAACGTTTATCGAGGATTTATACGGCACTGAGATAGCTAATAAACAGTTGTCACACTAATGCTATTATGTAGTATGTAAACGTTTATCGAGGATTAAAATCGATTTTTTTTTCTTAAGGAGAAATATATCTTCTTATAAAACATTAAGTAGCGACCCCTGTATGTAATCGTCAATTCTTCTAGGAAAATATGTGCAAAGGGCTTCCTTAATTTTCTCAAAGTAAAAAATTCTAAATTTTATAATATGATAATTTCATACACGTTATATTCTGTTGCTCCTGAGAAAGATCGTGCATTTAGCAATGGTTGTTAATTTTTATTAAATACTGCGTTTTCTGATTTTATAATTAACTCTTTCTGTGCTTCTTAGTACGATGATGTTGGTGGGTAAGGATATTTTAACGCGTCAAGATGAAGCTCTTAATAATTGTAAAAGAAAGTACACACACACCGTTTTTCTCAATTACCGCCGAACATACTAGCCCTTTCTTTCAGACGTATGGGGGCTATAATGTGACGGTCAATCCCACCATTCTTTGTTAAAGAGTAGACCAAGAGTTGGCGGTGAGTGATGTTGACTAGCTGCCTTCGCTCTAGTCTATCACTTCAAAATTATGGACGGCTAGCGCAGATAGCCCTTGAGTAGATTAGCGCGAAATTTAACAAACTGTTTATCACTAAGATAAAAACCAGTCATAAATATATGTAGTGGTAACTCTAGTACAACAGTAATTTGACAACACAATTATTACTAATATTCCTAGATGACAGAAACAGGAAGCACAGGTCATCGCCCTTTATTTTAAAGAAATTGCTTTTAACGAATAAGCAGTTTCTATGCTCACAATGACAACACAGTTTGAAATAGTTAATAGCCATCCGCAGTTCTGTAAGTAGAACCGTTTAGAAAGTTTGGTTACGTAACATTGTAGAGTGATATAATACCCATTTTCTGTGGATAAGCCTAACACACAAGAAAGTTTAGCGAGATTAGATAACTGCACTCACGTATAGAGCTTAATGTCTGCACGAAACACTAGTATAAAGCCACACGACGGTAAGCATAGAAGGATATACCACGTTAAAGGAAAGTTTATTTATTAATTTGCAATATCACGCATAGTTCCGCATCTTAAATCTCCTTTAAGTCGTGGTTATATAGTCCAACAGAGGTTAAACACTATGAAGAAACTATATATCATTTAATATTCTCAGTGAAACAAATGTGTACGGCTTGATTAATTATTCGGCTAATTTTTTCCGACATTTGTAAGATTCTTGCAAACATAACACACAAGACGGTGCTTTTCGAAGAGGTTAGTTAAGTTAGTCACCCGTAATTTTCGAGTGTCTAGAAATAGAAATTCGTCCATGAGGGTTAGCATATCACAATTTTATGAAGTTAATAGAACACAAAGTCGCCTCATCAGCCAGGTCGTCCACTTTTATGCTGAATGATACAGTGTTGTGGCCTGAAATAAACCTTTAAGGCTCTCAGTGGTTTTATCCATGTTCTTTGGACAAAACCTGTGTCCAATGTTAAGAGTCTGATACTGTCATTGTCCTCAATGTCACTGGTCAACCACACTAGCCGAAGTTATGGAATGGAAATACTAGCAGAGAAATAGTGGGATTAACCGTCACATTATAACGCCCCCACGTCTGAAATGGCGAGTATGTTTGACGGGACGAGGATTCGAACCCGTGACCCTGAGATCGCGAGTCAAGCGCCCTAACCACCTGGCCATGCCGGGCCCCATTACGGACAGAATCTCCATAAGGCAGATCAATATCTTATTCCTGTATTCTCGCTCTCTGCTGAAAATATGTAAATCAGTCTAGGACCTAAAACAAGTGCAAAGGTCTTATATCAAAAGAATCCCCGTAATAGTAGTATAAACGACCCATTTTTGTCTCATCTTTCTAAGTGCTCCAGTACCTTGAGTTGAAAGGTTATTCATCGATTTTTGTTTTTCTAATATGTAAACTTAAGAAATTTTAGGTGGGGTTAATGTGTAATAAATGCTGGAGTAATATTCTTATAATTAAGTAGTGTAATAAATAATTAATGCAAAAAATGTGTAAATGAAATCAACAGAATAATGTATCAACTAAAAACATAACGCAGAAATTATGACTCTGTTGGTAATACATATATAGTAAAATAAAGTGGCACAAAATATTTTGATTTCTGTTGGCTAAGTGTTAGAAATGTGTTTTTTTAGCAAAGCCACATCAGGCTGTCTGTTGTGTCTACCGAGTGAAATTGAACGCCTTATTCTAGTGTTGTAAATTCGAAGATTTACCGCTGTCGCACATGAGGCCTAGAAATATTGATCCAATGTATAATACAGTCTAATTTGTATGATAAATTAATACATACATTTTTTTTTCTTACTCATATGCGATAAACAGGGCAAAATGAATTGAAATATAAAACTGATTCCAGGACTCGTTGTAAGTTAACTTGTGCCTTAGGCAGAAATTATGGTTGCGCCCTTACTCACACTAGAAGATGTGGGTATTTGGTTCCTTAGGCAACTGACTACGTTGCATATCCTGAAGGCTAACCTGACTAACTCCTATAAAAATTACGTTATCATGGAAAAGGCTAAAATTTATGTTACAAATAAAAAAATATTATAAACCGGCTAGTTAGTTGTTATGCACAAAGCTATACAATGGACTATCTATGCTTTGCCTACCATGGGTATCGAAACCATATTTTTTAAGATGTAAGCTTGCAGGCTTGTTGCCGAGCCAC